CCCCCTTCAGGACCCTCTACAAACGAACTTCAACCCCCGGAAAACTGACATTCAGAACGAATGACACAAGTTTAGATTCTCGCCAATACATAACTCGCGCGGAAGACTGGGTTGAGTGGACTCTGGAGATTCTGAAGATTTGATTCGAAGCCAACTGTAAGTTCAACAACATAGAGTGTTCCAGTTGAGGTTGAAAGAAGCAAATCTGGACGGTAGGTGTCACCGGTGATGATTGATGGACTTTTGTACCCTGGAAGATCCACGTAAAGATGTGAGCCGCTTACGGTCTGCAGGTTTGTTGCGAGAAAGTTTAGAACAGAGTCATGTCTCCACGTGAATCGTTCTAGTTAAGATTGGCAACCAGCTACTACGTGCAGAAGTGTATCAGGAGCTAGACATCGCGAACAGTCTGAAGTCGGTGATAAACCCCATCTTGCAAGGTTTTGGCGCGTTGGAAGGGAGTTATTGATGTATCGAACTGTAAAGTTGAATATATTTTTCGGGAGGTTCGATTGGCACGCAGACCAAATTTTAGTGAGTTGGGAAAGTGAGAACTTTGTTATATTAGTCAAGAAAGAACCTTGACAGGTTAATTGAGTATGCAGTTTATCCTCTTGTTCAGAACGAAAGTCCTTAAGAACTTGCTTAGTGGAGTTATAAACGTACGTCATACTAAATATTTTTGCTGTTACTAGTTGCTTTCCAAAGTTCGTTAATTGCTTCGTTTGGGGATGTTTTTAGAGCTTTATGGAGAACGGTTTGACATTGAATGAATTTGACAGATGGGGGACAAATACTGAGGCCAAATTTGTTACGGGTTAGGAAGACAGTGCTTAGCGTTCCAGATATAGGTATATCAAGTCATTTACGGATATAACTGTTGATTTTGGAATCAATGTTTTCGGTGACCCACGTTTTCGATACGCTAGAAACTGTAAAATGCCAGGATAATTTTGACAGAAGATATCGACTGTAGAGGAGGATTTTATTTTTTGGATGTAATGGTTTGGAATCAATATCTGCCATTAGTTCTTCAACGGGTGAGATTAGTTCAGACTTGTGGTGTTTGTCTGTCATATTAAAACTAAAGTATCTTCCTAAGTATTGAAAAGCCTCATCGATATTGGTCTTTGGAATTAGTTGCTTGTTAATAAGTAGTTTAAGCAGGTATTGGATTGATTTTGTTAGAGCCTTTTTTATGCCCTTTGTACTGCATTTATCAACCCGAATAATCATGTTGGACCATTGGCACCAAATGGAGAACCGGTTTAGAAGATGTTGATTTTCGGATTCTTGACTACTTATGACGGCGGCATCATCAGCAAACTGAAACCAGTGGATGGGATTTAGAAACTGTAAGGAGAAACCAAATTGACGATATTTATCTGTTTTTATGTGTTCTATAAAGGTGTTGAAACACATGTTGAAGAGAAGAGGACTGAGGCATTCGCCTTGCAATACTCCACGGTATGGTATGAAGGGGGTACGGAATTCAGATGTAATTATTGAAGTTTTAAAATCGGTATATAGACTTTTAATTATCAATTTAACATGTTCAGGGATATGGTGGTAATCAAGTACGGATGTGATCAGATTATGATGAATTTCACCAAAAGCATTCTTGAGGTCAAGTAGGGCGATGACTAGTGAGCGTTGTTTGGTTCGGGCTTTATTGATAATATTGGCCATTTCGGCCCATTTGTGCAGTGTGTTATAAGGTGCCAGACATGTTAGGGCCTCTTTACATGGAGGTAGGGTGACCCTAGCAGAAGGGTTACCCTAGCAAGCGGGTTACCCTACTTCAATATGTTTTATAGGAAGCGTTTACACGCGCGCTAGGGTTACCCTAGGGGTAGGGTTACCCTATCAAACAGATAGGGTGACCCTAGCAGCAGAGCTATCTTTTTGTTTACATAAGCCATGTAAACGCGTCGGGTAGGGTTACCCTAGCAAGCGGGTCATGTTTTATACGTCCTACTGTAACAGACAAACAAGGATGGCGTCGCTAGATATATGAACATATCAGCCTGGCGACACCGCAAAATAAAAAGGATAAGCAATTTACAAATAATTAAGGAAGCAGAGGCATAGAACGAAGCTTTGACTTTGGACGAGAACGCTGCGAATGATGTAGTTTCGATAACAAATTGTCAAAGACGGCGAAAAGGAAGCAAAATTCCGGCGCATCCTCATCGACGTCAAAAAAACAAAATAAATGCTCTTGGTCAGCCGAACATGTCGAAAAACTGTTGTGTTGGACTATATCAAGGAATACATTACGCTTATTTACGCAATGCGAGTAATAGACCACAACATTGAAAGAACAGACCACGATATTGAAATAACCTCGGAAATAACAGACCACAACATTGAAATGCAGCAAGCAAAGGCCCAATAAATAGCATTACACAACTTGCCGCTAAAACTTTGCGTTTCGACGCCATTTATCTAATACAGACTGCTTAGCGACCACGTATAGGTAGGGTTACCCTATCCGGCAACATAGCCCTAGCAGTAGGGTCACCCTACCTCATGTAAACGCTCGGTATTTTCTGACCCGCTTGCTAGGGTAACCCTCCTGATAGGGTCACCCTACCTCCATGTAAACAGGCCCTTAGATGTGAATCCTTTTTGAATATTATGTTCTATAGAGTTCGGAATGAATACATAGCGTTATATAGGCAGGCAGGAATTAAAAATTAATGGTATGGTCTCCAGTGTGATGGGTCGGAAATTGGACGGGGTATTAGTATCGCCTTTTTCATGAATTAGTATTGTGCAAGCTTTCTAATAATAATAATAATTATTATTAGCATGACAAAATTACTGGATGCTGATTGGTTGAGAGGAGTACAGTTATTTCATTAATTGTACTGCAGTACAATTAATGATTTTTTCAAAACAAACAAAATGGCACAAACGTGAACTGGAATTGCCCTTGGGGAACTAGATGAAAATACGAACAAAAGCAGCAAATTTTGCTTTAGCAAAAGAACTAAATGAAAATACGAACAAAAGCACCAAATTTTGGTTGAAAGTCTGGCAGGACTGGGCTTTGGCGAGAGAATATGATGTTGACATTGAGAAGTACGTATCCAATTTTGTCATGCTAATAATAAACAAGTAATCATGCGATGTTGCTCGTACAATTAGGGATTAATAGTACTCGTGATGTTTGGAAATTTTGCCAAATTGGACTCGCCCCGGCGGCTCGTCCAATTTTGGCAAAATTTCCAAACATCACTCGTACTATTAATCCCTAATTGTACTCACCATCGCATGATTACCTATACTAATAATGGAAACTTTATTTTGACATTTTATGTATATACAATTATAAATCTCACTAATTAAGGTAATTTATAATTGACTACTTGAACTATTAATTATTGATAAAACTATATTACAGGTATAAAACTAAGAGAAAGCTCATTCTTAAATGTTCATCAAGTCCGGATCGGTCCAATCCTTGTTTCTACAACAAAATATATAGTACGTTGTTCTGATGGCGATGGACATTATTTTCTTAACACAAAAGTTCTGATGTTTTTTATCAAGACCAACTTCGTTCAACATTTTCATAAACGTGTTACATTCTTTTGAGAAAACACCTAAGGCACTAATAGACAAATTAATAAATTTGACAGTTTTGAAATGGTCTTTCTGCTGCGTAATTAGATCCTTGTATCTTTGCCTTTTGCGATCGACGTTGTTTTGGAGATTGGATTCATATCCGACAGAGAGTTCGAGTATGTACAGACAATCATTTGAAATCGAAAGAAGCAGGTCTGGGCGATAAGTGTCACCGGTTATTATTGACGGGCTCTTGTATCCAGGAAGGTCAACAAATAGAGTGGAGTTGTGGTCAGGTTGGAATATTTTTGAGATAAAATTTAAAATGGAGTCATGTCTCCAAGTAAATCGTGGAAGGTATGACTGGCATCCCGCGACCACATGCAGAAGGGTTTCAGGGTTCAGGCAGAGGGAACAATCCGAGTTTGACATTATTCCCCATTTTGTAAGGTTTTTGCGTGTGGGAAGAGTGTTGTTGATGTAACGGATGGTGAAGTTATAGATGCTTTTTGGCAAGCTGGATTGAGATTTGGACCATAGGTCGTTTAGTGTAGACAACGAGAACTTGGTGGTGTTAGAGAAAAAGGAGCCTTGGAGAAGCAGATGATTTTGAAGCTTGTCCTCTTGTGCAGATTTGAAACTTTTAAGAACTTCCTTTGTTGAGGTGTAGACGTCGTACTGTATGTTAGTATTGTCGCAAGTTGATTTCCATAAATTTCTTATACAATCATTTGGAGAGTTTTTTAAGGCTTTACGAGAGACTGTTTGGCACTGAGTGAACTTGATGGATGGAGGGTATATATTTAGTCCAAATTTATTACTTGTGAGGAAGACATTACTTAAAGTTCCAGATACGGGTATTTCAAGCCATTTCCGTACGAATTTATTAACTACTGAGTCCATGTTTTCAGAAACCCACGTTTTTGATAAGGTAGCGACAGTAAAATGCCAGGAGAATTTCGATAGGAGATAACGACTATAGAGTAAAATTTTGTTCTTTGGGTGTAGCGGTTTGAGGTCAATTTCTGACATGATATCTTCAAGGAGGGTGATTAGTTCTTGTTTGTGATCTTTGTCAGACATATTGAAATCAAAATATTTCCCTAAGTATCGGAAAGACTCTCCTATTTTAGTGGCCGGTATTAATTTATTGTCAATGAGGAGTCTTGGTAGGTATTGGATTGATTTTGTCAGACTTTTCTTAATGCCAAATGTACTACATTTGTCGACTCGAGTAATCATGTTTGACCATTGACACCAGATTGAGAAGCGATTTAAAAGGTCTGATTTTCGCTCTCTTGGCCGCTAATAACGGCTGCATCGTCAGCAAACTGGAACCAATGGATTGGATTTAAAAATTTGGTCATGAAACCAAATTGGCGGTATTTATCAACTTTAATGTGCTGAATAAAGGTGTTGAAACACATATTGAAAAGTAAAGGACTAAGACAGTCTCCTTGAAGTACACCTCGGCCAACAGTTATGAATGGGGTAGAGAATTCGGCAGTTATAATTGTGGTGTTGAAGTCAGTATACAAGCTCTTGATAATTTCATTAATCTGTTCGGGAATGTGATGATAACCGAGGACAGATTGAATGAGATTATGATGCACTTCACCAAAGGCGTTTTTAAGGTCAAGAAGGGTGATGACAACAGAGCGTTGTTTTATTCTCGCTTGGTTGATGATGTTTGTCATTTGAGCTGTGTGTTCCAAAGTGCCAGACAAATTGGGAGTGAAGCCTTTCTGAATCTTTTGTTCAATGAAATTATTAGCCGTTAGAAAGGAGAACATGGCGTTGCGAAGATATGAGGTAAACACTTTTAAGGGTATGGATTCCAGAGTAATAGGACGGAAATTGGAAGGGTCATTTGTATTTCCCTTTTTGTGTATAAGTACAGAACATGCTTTTTAATAATAATAATAATAATAATAATAATAATAATAATAATGGAAACTTTATTAAATGTTTTTCTTTATATACATATACAATCGTAAATCTCTCTCATAAAGGTAACTTACGGTTGGCTATTTGAATCACAATTAGACTAAACTAAAACAACAGAACAAAGTGCATGCAATATATATATATATATATACAATGAGATAAGTCAAATTGTTAGTAAATCCGGATTTTCCCATTCCTTATTTCGGCAACAAAAAATGTAATATGTAGTTCTAATAGCAATAGTCATCATTTTCCTAACGCAGTACATTTGGTGGTTTTTGTCAAGACCAATACTATCTAACATGTCTAAAAATGTATAACATTCTTCTGCAAAAATACCCAAAGAGCTGATGGAGAGATTTATAAATTTAACTTGGTTAAAATTTTTACCTAGCTGTCTCAATAATTCTCTATATTTATCCTTCTTCCGTTTTACGTTGTTTTTGAGGTTTGTCTCATAACCAGTGGTGAGTTCAACCACATACAAGGAACCATTTGAGCACGATAATAACAAATCTGGGCGATACGTATCACCAGTAAGTATTGAAGGGCTTTTGAATCCATTTAGATCAGCGTAGATAATAATAATAATAATAATAATAATAATAATAATAATAATGTCATATAGTTATACTATAATATTGTAGATATATAAACTCTGTAATTCAGTCTTTGTAACTGTGAAAGATTTTCAATAAACCATAATTATTAGAGAAATTAGATCTTCGTACAGGCTACCATCACATTGAATTCGATGAAGATTCTCCACACCTACCCTTTGGCATTTCATCTGCCAAGTTTTCCAGAATGTCCTGCAACAGGCACTTCAAGGTCTTCATGTTCGTAACATTACGGATGATAATTATCATAGGTTTAGGAGAAATCTCAGGAGGAATATGATCGCAATCTTGAAGCTTTGTTCCAATGCCAAGGGCCTCGCACTGAATGGTGATAAATGTGAATACAATCAGCAACGTTTATGGTTTCATGGTTACATTTTGTTCAAAGATGGTCTATCCGTTGATCCCAAGAAAGTTGAAGCCATAGTGAAGACAACAACTCCAGAAAACGTTGGTCAACTCCGAAGTTTCCTTGATCTATCTAACCACTGTGCTTGTTTCTTCAAGGATTTTGCCACTCTTTCAGCTCCTTCGCACGAACTGACCAACAAATCAACAAAATGGCAATAGACTGCCATCCACCAGCAAGCTTTTGACAGAATTAAGACTGCAATTACCGATGATTGGACCAAAGAAACAACCTTGTCAGTTGATGGCATATGCATATGCAAGTCGTACCCTTTCCCAGTCACCCCCACCGAACGCCGGTACTCACAGACAGAAAAGGAAGCACTTGCCGTAGTATGGGGTGTGAACGCTTCCATTTATATCTCGTAGGTAAAGAATTTACTTCTACACTGACCAAAAGCCACTTTAACTGATTTATAGCCCTAAATCCAAACTACCATTACACATTGGGACATGGCTTCTCTGAATGCAACAGTACCTAATACCTATACCAAGTGAAATACTCACCTGGATCGTCAAACCCTGCCGATGTGTTATCCCGTCAACCAACTGAACCCGTGAATGGTCTGCTAAAACGAGGACAAGTATATCAACTTTATCGAGTGCCATACTGTCCCTAAACCTATGACTCTAGAGGAGTTGCCGCTGAGACTAATATTGATGCTGGTTACAAGCTGTGATCAAAGCTATTCAGTCAGAACACTGGTATGAGAAAAATGATCCAAACAATTATGTTACAGTTTATCATAAATTAAAGAATCAACTGTCTATTATTAATAATAGTGTACTTTTGCGCGACACTAAGTCTCTTCAAAATAGAACTTTGGCCATTGCTCATGAAGGGAATCAGGGCATAGCCAAAACCAAAACACTCTGGCCTACAGTAGATAGATACTACTGTGGAAAACCTTGTAAAGTCCTGTTTACCTTGCCAGTTAGCAACTATCCAATTCCTTGGTTCCACGTGCCACAACCTAAAGACCCATTAATCATGACTGATATACCATCAAACCATGGAGCGTAGTATACGCTGATTATTGTGGTCCTTATCCCACCGGTGAAACTGTTATGGTTACTCTCGTTTTCCGGAGGTACGTAGATGTAATGAAAAGTACGACCACTGCCGCAGTTGTTTCTCGTCTCAAGCAAATATTTGCCAGACACGGTTATCCCGGATAAATTTACAAGCGACAATAGGCATCCATTTAACGCTGCAGATTTTGATACATTTCTTAACCAAAACGGCATTGGTCATAGAAAGATTACGCCTTACTTGACCGTAAGCCAACGCCGAAGCTTGGCGTTTCGTGCGTACGTTAGAAAAAGCTGCACGAACTATCCATACCGAAGGAAGGTGGCAAGATGATGCTTTCTTTTGAATTACCGATCAACGCTGCATTGCACAACAGGTATTAGCCCAGCAGATCTTCTATTCAATCGAAAATTCGGAATAAATTGTCAAGTATGGACTGTGTTGACGCTCTTCTTGTGAAGGGCTCGTGGATTCGATTCCCGCTATGGACTCATGTGAAAAGAGAGGTCTTGTAGGTGGAGATTATCGAGTGGAAATTTATATACATTTATTGAATATAATTTGTTTTTAATGAGGATACCAACTTCACAAGTAGTGGTTTACAGAGGGGTCCTCGGACAAGTAAACATATACTAAAAATAATTAAATTACAAATGAAAATAACTAGACAGAACACAAACAAATCATTACAATTCAGTTTTTTCGAGGCGGTTCTTAAATGAGGTTATCGAGGTGGAGCTTTTTAATTTACCGTTGTCTAGTGCATGACCCCACCTCGAAGCCTTGGTTTTCCTGATGTTATTCTTAGATTGGTGTTATATCTATGGAAATCACAATTATGTTGAAAGCCAAAGTGGTGCGATATCATATTATTGATGGCCTTATATGCAAATATGGCTCGATGCTCGGCTCTTCTACGTTTTAAGGATTTCCATTTAAGTTTACTGAGAGCATCGGTTGCAGAGGAATATATAGGTTGATCTAAGACTGTCTTAGCAGCTTTATTATGTAGAATTTGTAAGTCATTCATCAATGTTTCATTTCCCCTGTCCCCCCAGCAAATGTCCCCATGTGTATAAAACTTTTAACAAACGTTATTCTAGCATCTAATGGTAAACAAGACTTGATACGTTTTAAAAAACCAAATTTCTTGTTTATCTTATATAGTCCACATGGTCTCCCCTGACTGCTCCCAATCAGCATAAACTTAGATTTCTCGACATTCAAAGTAAGTTGATTATCCAGAAGCCAATTATGGATGTAATTTAAATCGGAATTCATTTTTCTTTGAATTTCATCAGTCGAAGATGATGCATTAAACGACAAAACGGTATCGTCTGCATAAAGAGTTACATCACAAAACTTTAAGCATTTTGGCAAATCGTTCACGTATACGATAAACAAAAGGGGACCTAAGATTGATCCTTGGGCAACACCAATGGAGATAGAGGCAGGATCAGATTTAGCATTATTACAACATGTCACTTGGGTTCTGTTTCAGAGGAAAGAAGTGAACCACAAACAAGCATTATCGTCGGCACCCAATGCACGTATCTTGCTGATCAGGATGTTATGATTCACAGTGTCAAATGCCTTTTTGAGATCTAGAAAGACTGTTCGAATTACTTTGCCATTATCCATGGATTGTAAGATTTTGTCAGTAAACATGGCTACTGCTGTAACTGTTGATGATTTTAATCGAAATCCATACTGCTTTGGCGAGATAAGATGGTGGTTATTAAGTAATTAAATTGGGTATATACCGCTCTCTCCAATATCTTACTCAATACAGGTAAAATGCTTATCGGCCGGTAATTTGTTGGATTTCATTTTGGACCATATTTGAACACTGGTATCACTTTCGCGTTTTTCCAGGCAGATGAAAATTTTGCCGTAGTTAATGAAATATTAATTATATAATCAGCAGCATCCTTTACCATACCAAACGAGCATTAATTTTATCTAGGCCACAAGATTTCTTTGGTTTCAACTGGTTGATCGCATTTAATTTGAGACAAACTGCTCAGTAACAGACTCAAAACTGAAAGTGAAACCAGAAGGAGTTGGACCATTTCTGGCATTGGATGTAGGATTGAATTTCTCAATTATATATATATATATATATATATATATATATATATATATATATATATATATATATATATATATATATATATATATATATATATATATATATATATATATATATATATATATATATATATATATATATATATATATATATATACTATATATATATATATATATATATATATATATATATATATATATATATATATATATATATATATATATATATATATATATATATATATATATATATATATATAAACTATATATATATATATATATATATATATATATATATATATATATATATATATATATATATATATATATATATATATATCCTCCCAAATATATATATAGCCTCCCAAAAAAATTCATTTATATAAAACTGCAAGTTGGAAACAAAATTGATTAAACTTCAAACAAATACATAATACGTTTCGGGGCACAGCCCCTTCATCAGAAACGAGATAAGTTCAATCCATGTCTTTAAATACTTTAGGCTCAATCTAATTAAGATACACTAATAATATATAGACTTGCATATTAACATTCCTCCCTCAAATTTAATCCCAGTGGTACATATGTATTCAAATTTTCAATCCAA